GAAGACTTTTTAAGGACCGCGGGAACCCTGTCTCCATTCCCGTAAATTATTATATATTAAAATAAAAGAAGATTCCATACTTGCATATAGGTTTCTAAAATAACTAACAGACTAAGAACCTTTGCATGCATGCTTTCAAAGGATTACAATATTTGATTCTTCTTTCAAACACTGCCATTTATTCTTCACAGACATCCTTTGTGTATTTTACAGGTTTTAGCCCCAATCTTTACGAGGTTTGCAGAAATTACTTGCCAGCTGGATCAGACAGTATCTTAATTTTCAAAGATCTATGTATTTTTTTTATCTTCGTCTTTATCAAAAAATAAACAATATGAAATATGCAATGAAATACTTTGTTTGGATGTAATTTCGGGATTCCTTTGGGTAAAATTAAAGAAGGTTTAGCATCACCTCTTGTGAGCTTGAACAAATAAATTCTTGATAGTTAGACAAAGGAATGTTTTAAGGTTGGAAGAGGATGACCAGCCCCATATAGTTTAATATTTAGCGAGAGCAGGAAGAGCCATATACTGCTGAGAATGAACCATCGATGTGGAGCATAAAGTGCAGACTGAGTTTTCCTGCACAACCTGAAAAGCAGAGTTTGTGAGAGTTAAACTCGCAAAACCAGACGATTTCGGCTTATTTTCACCCCTGCTGCTGCTGCATGGTCTATCTGTCATCATGCAGAATGTGCGGTGCTGCACGCCATGTTGGCTGCGTGATCAAACAAGACGCAGCAGCATGGCTGGTACTGCTTAGCTTGTCTAACAGATTACAACACAATGTTGGATTGTAAATCTCTGACCAACTGCCTGTAATTTTTATTTAGTGTCCTCTCATTGATGAAAACTCAAACCAATGACTAGTCATGTTTTAGTCATCAAAGATCCGTGTTTAGCCCGTCAGTTCTAATTATTGTCATGAAAAAAAAGGTGACTAAATAATTTCGTCATCGTTAACGAAAACAACACTGATCAGGACTTAACTGGATGCGCTTCAGGAACGTCTAAGTTGCTCTTGAGGCGCATCTGAGCTTAATGTGGACAAGCATCAAAAATGAAACAGCAGATGCTTTTTTTGATGCTCAGATCACATGTGGTGTGAACGTAGCATTACACTTTCTGATTATTTGAATTAATCAGAAAGTGTAATG